ATACTAACCGTACTAAACGCTAATAAATGGATTTGGAAGTACAAATGCACATATGAACAAATGATGAATATATTGCAGCAAAGAGCTTGAAACAATGTTCACCGTTTATACAGTTTAAGTTAAACTAAATAACAGCAACGCCAAAGCGTAGAAAATTAATATTTGATCTTGAACATCAAACATCAAACATTAAATGCTAAGATTTCAACATCATGCTCTTGGTGCAGAACATGGTGTTTTACTTGTTTTAATCGAATATGTTTATCCTTGGTCGGGAATAGCAAATATGACGTAAATAAAGGGATTACAAGCTTTATTCCTATTCTAGTCTACTGTAAAGAAACGTATACCCGGTTTTTGGGTACCCGGTTTTTTCGACCGGGTACCGGGTACCAAGTCCGAACCCAGCAAACCCAGTTAAATACAATGCCTATTATGTAATGTATTGACATTAAGTAAATGATTACATGATATCTATCACACTTATTGACAGTTATAACTCTTCCCATCTGATGTGCTCAGATCACAGAATATGCCTCATAATATCAGAGCATGTTCAGGTGAAACAGAAAGATGCTATGAGTATCAGAATGGTCCTTCATGTATTCCTGACTATCAAAATTTTAAAACGTACATCAAACCTACATCAAAGTTTTTGTGTCAAATCAGTTAATGATGACACCGGGCGTACATCTAAAGTGTACGGTGGTATATTTTGTCACTGTACGTTATCGGCTTTATCGATGGTTAATGTCTCATACGTAGTAATAGGGTCTCGAGAATTTTAGTCTAGGCAATTCCACCCACACAATTCAGACCGGTTGGTAAATTTTGATTATATTCACATGGACGTAAAGGAATTGCATAGAAAAGACTCGTGCTATTCTTTCCTAAGATAAATCTTTTAAAACCTACGATCACAATTTTTGCTTCAAACAGCTAAAGTTTACACCCGTATATTTTGTCATTGTACGTTGTACGTGAGTACATGAGGTTGACAGACTAACATTTTGCTACTTCATTGTTCTTAGGAGTGTGTAAAATCTAGAAAGATGTTATCATATTTAACTTTTTATTGAAAGATGCAAGGAAAAAACAAGAAATTCTGGTCGAAATGTTCGTCGGTCGCAATTTTATTGCAACATTTCTTTTGTTCTTGAAATGCTACTGGAGCGCCACCGTTCGTTAATTATATGCAAATATTTTCAATTTTCCATGAGTTTTTGTCTTCATTAAAAGAGATTTTCTTCAAAACCAGGTGAGTGCAACAAATATTGTGATCGATATTATTATGAAACGTGTCCTAATAGTCAAACTGAGTGACATATTGTTTACAATAGCATTACAAAATGTCTATAATCAAGCTTTATAAACTCACATCGCGTTGTGGGTGATAATAGGCAAAATGAGGCACGGTCAGTGTCAATGATTTTTAAACATCCGGGGTGATTCTGTGATATCTGTTAGGCTATGAACACACACTTGAATTGCTTTATGTTATCAAGTTCTTCGAAAAGTTTATTACTGCATTGTAAGGAAGCATGTAGATTGGTTTAGCCTGAGGCTAGATCTAAATAAACAATAACAAAGAATTTTGAGGTTCACTTCCTGCTTGAAGCTTTCATATATAATATATATAAACTATTCTGTAGAATAAAGTCTCCTCAATATTACTACGGCATCAAAAAAGCTATCAGAATTACCTCATGCATGGGACCCAACTTACATGATTTCTAGATGGTAGTAAACACTCATGAATGTAACCACATAAGCTTAATTTGTCAACAAAAGCATGAGCGCAATATCAAAGATATGTAAAATAACTGTCAAAATAACCAAAGTCACTAACTAGCTCGCAATTTTCGGAAGTTATGGTACTGTATACAGTACTGTCAATCCCCAAAGATTTTCTCGCGGGACAGATTTTTTAGACCCAGTGCCCAAAATTCGCGGGAATTCGGGGGACATCCACCTAAATTTATGGGATTTCGCGGGACATATAAGTAATTTGCATGATTGCGCTAATACTTCAAATTTTGATCAACTTCGCAGGATTTCACGGGACCATTCGAGGGACAAACACACTAATTGCGGGACAGTAACAGTAGTAGCCACATGCATAGTAAAAAGGCTAACGTTGGATCTATTTGTGACCTACATCCCTATTTTCGTAATTAAAATGAAAGTTGAACTCTTCCTCTTTATTTTGATACTAAATAACGGGAATGTGCTAAAAACCCTTCGACCCTACGACCTATTACTTACTGGGTGTCAAGAATTTTTGGAATTATATTTTTTATAGAAACCCTTTGACCTTCAATTTCTCAGACCATATGAAGTTGCTGGAAATATTACTATGTGTATCAACTTAAGAATCTGTCCCTAGAGAGTTAAAGATATTTGTTGTATTCAAGCACATAATTTCGAACGTGAATGTTTCTTACCTCCTCCATTGAAGAGTCAGAAAAAATATTTGAGCTTTTCCCATCATATTGTAAATGTTGCGCTTCGTGCATATTTTCACGAGGTCAAATCAAATTTTATATACAGTTTAAAAGAGTACTGTCTTTTGATTTTATCAATTTTGATTCCATTTGGATTTGTATAGTTATGAATCTTAAGTCCAATAAATGAGTAGGGCCATAAGAAATAGATTTTTTGTTTTGCGTCCTACAAAATCCAAAGCTTGCAAGGGTACAAGGAAAATAAACACAAACTCATAATGGCCACCTAGCCAATGTGCCATGCTTATGAGTGTGAACATATCAAATGTGAAAAATCAGCCCCCTACTTTTCGAGTTAAAAACGCAAAATAACACACATTAAGTTAGAAGCTTTTTTTTAAAATGGCTGCCTACTTGCCAAAGTGTCATAAGATAGTGTGGCATGCTTATAAGTATTCACATATTAAATATGAAAAAATCGCTCCATAGCCTATTACTCTTCCCAGTTACAGCAACAATCGTAAAATAGCAAGATCACTGTTATTTTGATTCGTAACCAGGAAGTTCATCCATTTTGTTACATTGACGTAATGTAGTTCCGTCAAAGTAACTAGTTGTGGATGTGAAGCTGGCCACCATGTTTTTTACCTCATTAAATATTTAAGTTTTCAAGTTAATCAATATCCTATCTAATGTTTTTCATTCAAAACATACTGTTTTATATGTTATAACTAAAATGTCGTAAAATTTACACAAATGGCGGCCATTTCTAAATTGGCAGCCATTCATAAAATTGGTTTTCGAGCAGAACTTGCGCTTTCATGGGCCATATACATGTAAATTTAAACGATATTGGTCCAATCATTTGAGTAATCATCTGGACGGACGGACTGATGGATGTATGTACTTTCTACTTAGAATTTTGACGCACATCAAATTGTCCGCTATTTCTGATTCAGATTGAACGAAAAATGCGATGGTATGTTCAGACCCTTGGGGTTGCTATTTGGAAGTGATTGTTTTTCTGATTTGCTTAAAATCTTGCAAGCAAAAGGACGCAAAACAAATAATCTAATTCTTATGCCCTAGTCTAAATTAGTGTGTTTGTTCATTTCCTGCCTACCGGGCATAGAAGAAAATCATTCATTTTCAGTTATTCATGTTCTTTCTGGTCAAATATCGAGAAAAGTACATGTCCATTAATTGTGAGAATTATTTCTTAAATTATCGGTGAATTAAGCTTTTTAATGGTGTATAAAACTTTGTAATTAGTTTTATATTTCTAGAGATATCATAATTTGAAAAGTGTGTTTTTCAGCGCGATTCTTATATTCCTTACGCAATTCAGCTGCACTATTCACACCTTTGATTGACAGGCTAGCGGTAGATTATTAATTCTTTGAAGTGACAATGTTTTGAGTTATACAAACCTTCCTAATTCATGAATATTCATATTGTCATAGATACATTTTATGACCAGAGATTCTAGAGTTCTCACGATTTCCGCTGAGTCTAATAACCATCATATTTGTAATGTGTGGGGTTGGTGTAAAAAATCGGTAACAAGAGGACTGGGTACCAACTATGTTTCCATTGAAAGAGTCAGTACGTACGAGTACAAAACATATTCCAATTAGGTAGATTAAATCCTACGGGGAACTGAAGTTTGAACTATACATAATCATGTATAAACTAGAAAACTAGACTGGGAAATCTCGACACTCAGTAAGTTGAAGGGTCGTAGGTCGAAGGGTTCTAAGAACATTCCCAAATAATGGCATACTAGGTACTTTAGAAGCCAACTATGGTGTTATTTGGATCAAAATCACAGTTTTTTAAATGGACCATATGCTCTTTCCAAAAGCAGTCTTGGATGAGCTGATGCACTAGGAGTTTGGCAGCACTTTTCAAATTAGGTAAACTTTACTCCTCAAAAGTGCAAAAAACTTAGCTTCTTATATCACAAGATAATCACAATTATTAAGCCTAGGGGATTGCAACAATTTTGGAAATTCGCAAATGTCAAAGCTGACATTTGTGGGACTTCGCGGGACAAAACGGGACACACAAATTAGCAAAATTTTGATCAAATTTGCGGGATAATCCCACCATTAACGGGACTTGACAGCTCTGGTTATATTAATGAACATACATGTCTATTGTCTAACTAAATGTATGCTCGCTTATTTATGGATGACTAAACCAAAAGCGAATATCCAGGTCAGTGATCTGGGTATTGACCCCTTGGCGTATTGATTACATCATCGCAACAGGGCTACTGTGTTAATAGATTAATATATCAGACTATTCTCCCTTTTAAAAGCCTGAAGCAGGAAGGAATATAGCATGTAACCGCCAATATAGCATGTAAAAGCCTTCAAGTCTTTCTTATAACATGTTATCCTCCATTGTTCTGTAAATGAACATCAAACTTTGAACAAATATTTCACTTTATTGAGGTGAATACCTGTACATCTTTCACAAGTGATATTCCACGAAGCCCGAAGGGCAAGTGGAATATCACCTTGTGAAAGTGCTACAGGTATTCACCGAAAATAGAGTGAAATATTTGTTTTATTATATCACTGTCTAGTTAAACATCCCTAATATTATTAAGTCATTAAGTCTTCAGATATTTTTACGAATCTACTATGTTCGTCTGCCATTTTGACTTAAACTGAACTAAATTATTTACACTGAACGAAAACAGATTCTTTGAAAATTCCTGGGAGCGTGGGATATCGCTAGATATCTCACGGTTGTCTTATCTGATTAGCATTGCAATTGAATATCGCCAGATATCCCACGACATGTGACCCGGTTTTGACCAATCATACTGTCGCTAGCTAGATAGTGATATAATAATTGGTAATATTCAATGGTTTTCTTTAAGACATGGTTTGTTGACATGCCCCATATATCATTTCCATGAAATCTCCAGATTTTGGAGAGCCTGGGTGCAAATAAATCAAGAAAATTTTCAGGCCACTGAAAAAAATCAAACAAAGATCTTGCACATAATAAATAACATCTAGCAAAGAGGTTTAGGAATTAGTGAGAGGCGCATTCAGATTTCAAATTTTTCTCAGTTCTCCGCAAGGTCAAGCAAGGTAGATCAGCCCTGGTCAGATTACTGTTCTGCCAAATGTTGTCTAACATACAGTTATGAGAATATTTTTTAAACAATTATTAGAAATATTTGAAGAACTATTTTATCAGAGAAATAAACATCTACTTATTCACTGATGTTTAAAAAACACAAAAATAAACCATTGAATCCCATAAACAGCTTCAAATAATTATGATTTTCTTACAGTCTTTCAGGCTTCATATTTGAAGTGAGATCATAGATGTGACACAGATGGAGCATTTACATGATTCAGGGCCCATAAGAGGCAGGAGCATTCCAACAAATACAATTTCCATGGCAATGAATAGTTCAAACTCAATGAACACTTCCACCCCAGAAGCTTTACGACGTAAACGCAAGAAAAAAAAGAAAAGAGGTGGGTTGGATTTACAACGCAGTGGAACTCCCCAAAGGGGAATAGTCCCAGGAAAAAGCCGTAAAATATTCACACGTGGGACTGAAATTACTAAATTCCGAGCTAGTGATGGAACTATCTATCACAAAGGAGGTGAGTGATAATTTCATTATGATCCTTATCTCCATATTAATTAATTGAATCTTATTTAGTGCTTTTGAAACTGAAGTTCATTTCTTTGCACTAAAAGTACAATGTGAAAAGCTGTAACCATTGTCATGCTATGATCAAGGTCAAATGTTATAATCAAATTATTAAAATGTACATGAAGAGAAGTGAATGTGATCCTTGGATCAAAGGTTCAATGCCTTATCCAGTGAATTTATGTCCAATAACTAGTGGCTGTTTTTAATTTTAAAAAAAACAAACATTCATTTTCTCAGAAATGAGGCAAAGTATCATCTTCATGTTTTTTAAAATGAATCAAAAACATATTGAACAACATTTTAGATGAATTCTCGAAATCGTTGTCCAACTCTTCAAAAGGGGGGACACGAAAATCTTTCCTTATATGGTCAAAATATTTCCCATGATGCAGTTCGCGTAGGAACAAATTTATACTTCCTTGTTTTCCCTCATAGGTTTAACATGGGGATTTTCACACCTATTTTTCAAACGATATATTCGTTCATATTACCGTACGAGAGTACAGAAAAAATTATTAGAAACAATTGATCTTTTATTAATCTTAAGGGGCGGGGTCAAAATATCGATGTTCATATGGAGACGAAAGTACTTTCGCGAGGGGGGAGGGGGGTTTTGGGCACTTTCGTTGACCAAAAAACATCGATAATTCGGATCTGATATACAAAAAATAATTGGACTTACCCACTTTTTCTGGCGTTATGTTCTGATAAAAAGGCTTGTTTTCAATAGTTCGTGAGCTTTTTTGTGTGATAGGTCCAAAATATCGGTAGATAAAGACGATAATTCGATCATTTTTCAAATAAATTCCGTACTTTTCCCTCCTCCTTTTGAAGAGTTCAATGCAGTTAAATTGCGAACGTGTGTTAATTCACCGTAATAATAACCCGGCAAAAAAACATTACAAGTCACGGCAAAACTGATGCATATAATGATTGTTAAGTGGATGGAATCGCTATAGTATATCATCGGTGTATAAAGCAGGCCTGTCAACCGTCCCGCAATTTGCGTATTTGTCACGCATTTGCTGAAGAATTTGAAGTCACGCCAGTTATTTTTGCGTGACAGAAAATGTCACGCAAATACGCATTTTACCTGGTAATTGTCAAGCAAAAATATTTCTGTAGAAAAATCTCTAAAAAAGATCGTGTACACAGCAAAAATACGAACGCGGGAAAAAAAATTTACGCATTTCGTTCTGACTTTTCACGCGAATTACGAATATGTCACGCATTCCGTTCGAAATTTTTCGTACCCTCCCCCCCCCCCCCCCCCCCCGTTGAAGGATGTTTGAAACGCGAGCGAAGTGAGCGCGAAAAATTTGAGGTGTTCAAAATTTGGCAAGATGTAATGAAATTTAAACCAAGGTGTTCAAAATTTGGATCAAGGTGTTCAGATTTGGACCAAGGTGTCCACATTTTGAGGGGAGGTGTTCAACATTTCCAAGTCACTCATGTTAGGTGTTCCCAAGTTGACAGGCCTGATAAAGGTAACATGTTCATCAATGTAATCACGGGTTCCAAATCATTTGACAGTCACTGAAAATCAATGTTTTTTTGAAGTGACCTGAGCTTTCGTCTAGAGGGGGGGTGGGGGGGTTGTTGTCCAAACGAAATTACTTTCGTCTCCATATGAACATTGATATTTTGACCCCGCTCCTAATATAACAGCTATTTTTTTCATTATATTGGATATAGCGTGGTGAAAACGATGATTGAAAAGTGAGAAAATATTCCGGAAAAGGTCACGTGATCAGTTGACTGGTCGCCATATTGGGAAAAAACAATTCCATTCGACTTTCAATACTTTCATGCCAATCTTACCGCACTTCAAACTGCAACATCGATGCAACAACTGAATAAAAGTATTCATCTTCAAATTACATTATAAAGTTACGTTGAAAATCCACAAACAACTGAGCAGTAGACCAAAGAAGACGCGTCGCTATTATCTAGGTCAATCTGTTCAGTGGTCCGAAAGCAAATCTATATTACTCGTTTCCGAATTTTGTTGTTCATTGTACAATCTTTTATTGGTTAAACTCGGTATACTGACTATTAAAGCAATGACAAAGAAGAATACTTCCGATGGAATCATTGTTTTATTTAGCGTGCGGGTGTAAAAACAAAATTGCGTAATTAGTTTGATTTAGAACTTTCGGGTCACGCAAATAGTTACGCGAAATGCATAGTGGGAAAACATTGACCAATAAAATTTTGTCATTTTTGAGTGCTTTTTCAGTACATATTTGCGAACGTTCTGATTCAAAGAGCGAACCGCGAAAGGGAGAATTTGATGCAAATCACTGAAGTGCCTTTGGTAGAACAAGGGTTTCAAACATGGTGAAAATGATAATTTTTGCAATTTTTAGGCGATTATTAACATGTTAACAAATGGGCATCAAAAGATGTGGTAGGGGGAGGTCTAAACATCACATTTGATTGAAATCTTTTGTGCTTGCTTTCCTTTATCAGGAGGCCAACTGGGCAAAATCCATCTTGATTTGAAAAAAAGTTGAAAAGTGAAATACCCTACTCTTCGGCTCATTCAGACTCCTTGTATGAGCTTAAGAAGTAACCGATTAGTCAGACTTGGTTCAAATATGTTTATATTTTTTAATCATTTTCCTCGCTCTTTGGACTTTTACTAACTTTTTGTCAGTTATTCCAAATTTATTGTTTTCCTCATTGTATGTCCCTGAGTTAACCTTATTGAGCCAAATGGGGAAAGATCAGTGAGACAAGTCTCAAATACATTTGTAATAAAGATGATTAATTGTTTTATATTATTGTTTTCCTCATTGTATGTCCCTGAGTTAACCTTATTGAGCCAAATGGGGAAAGATCAGTGAGACAAGTCTCAAATACATTTGTAATAAAGATGATTAATTGTTTTATATTATTGTTTTCCTCATTGTATGTCCCTGAGTTAACCTTATTGAGCCAAATGGGGAAAGATCAGTGAGATAAGTCTCAAATACTTTTGTAATATAAATGATTAATTGTTTTTGTATTTTATTGCTTTCCTCACTTGGTCTTAGTATAAAAACCACTTGTAAAGAATTATACCCTTAAGAAAAAAGCCATGGTAACCATGGTATTCCATGGTGCGTCCATGGTAATCCATGGTTTTCCATGGAAATTCATGGTTTTCCATGTTATTTTCCATGGAAATTCATGGACGCCCATGGTAATCTTCCATGGATATTTACCATGATTTTCCGTGGTAATTGGTGGTTTGATAATTGGTTTTTAATGGATGTGTCATGGGCGGCTTTTGACACATGGAGATGTAAAATCAACAATTATGGTAGGATTTGTATTTACCAAAATCTCCAAAATTAATGTTTTGATGATATATCCCAGTTGGACTGAGACTTATCATAGAGAAAAAAGGTGGACATTTCATTTTTTAGGTTTAGCAAGAACGTTCATTGAATGTTAAACTCAGCTTCCTTACAAATTAGAAAATATGTGAAAATTATATAATTTTTTTATATAGAAATATGATAGTGCAGTTAATGCAGCACAGAGTAGGCCACAAGATTTCAAAAACAATTGTGCAAAGGGCTTTTGTGTAGATCAAGACTAGATAGAGGTTGCTTATTTTTTAGGCCAAACACTTCTTTCCTTTGAAAAAGATCAAGTCAAACTAACCCAAGCTCTGTTTTTATTTCAATACTTTCTTTAATTTTCAGTTTTAAAAATCAATATGAAATAATTTAATAAATAATTTTTTTAAAATTACATTTCGTATATTTGAGAATACAATCAAAAACCATGGTTTCTTTCTTTGAAGTTGAGGAAACTGTAATCAAAAGCCATGGAAGTCGGTTGATTGCAATCGAAAGCCATGCTTTTCCATGATTATTTCTTTGATGTTTCGGAAAGTGCAATCAAAAGCCATGGTTTTCCATGGTTATTCTTTTGATCTTTTGAAAGTCCATGGTTTTCCATGGGCTATTTGTTTGGTCTTTTGGAAGCAGAAAAAAGAATAAAACATTTTGTTTCTAAATGAATTCTCCAAATTAAGTCCCATTCAACCTTTATAAGAATATTATCTCTCAAATTAATGTTAAAAAATTAATCTCTTTGCAACAGATTATAATAGTTCATTTGCATAATTCTTAAATATTCTGATCTTAATTGTTATTATATATGATAATCTTACTCTTTCTAATGCTCCCTCTTCAGTAATTATTATTGTCGGTGAGTGTAGACAGTGCAAGTCAAAAACTCATTGTTGATCAAATAAAACCAAATAGGATTTACTCCAAATAAAAATGTTTATTCAGTCTACAATAAGGGAATCCAGTGAGCTGATTTTATCACTTATTTTGTCTTTTTTTACATCAGTGCCAAAGTTAAATGAAAGCAAATCCCAGCAAACAAATTATTACTTGTAATTGTGGGGTCAAATCATCAATTAAAAAAATATTAAGTAAAAAGTTCTTTGTCATATGACACTATGTACAGAACGTACAAACATATATTCAGATTGTAAAAACATGGTTGTATTTCAGGCCTGAAACCAGCTTTTGTCAAGAAGGTTGACTTTCTCAAAAATTTGAGGGGGAGGGGCGTCATATTCTTCTCTCTATGATTAGTCTCAATCCAGCTTGGATTCATTCGTTAAAATATTGATTCAATTTTGAAGATTTTGGTAAAAACAAAACATGCCAAAATTGTTGATTTTACAACTCAAGTGTCATGGTAAAAACATGGCATGTCCATGAAAAAACAATTACCAAACCACTAATTACCACAGAAAATCATGGTAAATATCCATGGATTACCATGGGTATCCATGAATTTCCATGGAAAATACCATGAAAAACCATGAATTTCCATGGAAAACCATGGATTACCATGGACGCACCATGGACGCACCATGGAATACCATGGTTACCATGGCTTTTTCTTAAGGGTAGTCACCTTTCGGATTGGTTTTAGTTTGTGAACATGAATTGTAAATTGTAAATAGTTTGGACTAAACTTTAAATTTATAAAAAAAATAAACTATTATGATGAGTTATAAGGAATTGACTTGCTTGTCATTCTTTACAAAATTAGATAACTTTAATAATTGATTGGACCAACCAAGGGGTCCAACAGTATGAATAATTAATTTATGGTATCCAAAACAAGATGTACCTCAAAATCAAGCAATTTTGATTCCTCAGCCCCATTGTAGAGACTAATTTGCAAACATGGTGCATATTTGATTCTCTCTTTAACTTACATGAAACCTATGTTCCATTTTCAGATCATGTCTTCCTTGAGAACAGTCATCCACAACAACCATTCTATGTCTGTTGCATACAGGAGTTCAGACTGGTAAGTACTCATTATCTTGTGTGTATACCTTCTATTTGGTAGCTTCGAAGTCATTAACAACTGCCTCCTCATGTAAACCAAACTTATCAGATGATATGTGGCATTTTGCGAGTGAAATTGGCAAATTCTGCAAGCTTTCAATTTTGCAGGAATTTCAGTGTTTTTATTGCAAAAGGGCTATATGGTCATTGTCTTGAGCTGATGGGCATGCATGCATCTGTTTTGGAGGTTGGGTAGCACCACAATAGTCTTGTCACCAAAGTTCCAGGAAAACTGCTTTCAGTTAAAACTTTTACATATGCAAGAGCAGATAAGTGTCAATATTTGATTCGGATTCGGGCAAACTTTTGAGTAAATTAAATGGCAGCCATTTTGCAATATTTGCAGTATTTTGCAGTATTTTTGTGTATCTTGTTAGACAAAAAAGACAAACATGTAACAATTTGGTGAAGGTATATTCTAGAGCGTGAAAGAGCTTCATAATATTGATATATGGTAAAAACAACTGCCAAAACCATAAATTACAGACGCGCAGGATATTGGGATTATCCCGAGGCCAATATAATATATCTGCCCGAGGGCCAACTGTTAGAATTCTTCTAGAATTTTCATGTCCAGTTTTGTTTTTTGGCCATGGTCGGATTTTCCCTGTTCTTTCAGATATTCATCTACGTTTGTTTTTTTGGCCATGTTCGGATTTTCCCTGTTCTTTCAGATATTCATCTACGTTTGTTTTTTTGGCCATGGTCGGATTTTCCCTGTTCTTTCAGATATTCATCTACGTTTGTTTTTTTGGCCATGTTCGGATTTTCCCTGTTCTTTCAGATATTCATCTACGTTTGTTTTTTTGGCCATGTTCGGATTTTCCCTGTTCTTTCAGATATTCATCTACGTTTGTTTTTTTGGCCATGGTCGGATTTTCCCTGTTCTTTCAGATATTCATCTACGTTTGTTTTTTTGGCCATGGTCGGATTTTCCCTGTTCTTTCAGATATTCATCTACATTTGTTTTTTTGGCCATGTTCGGATTTTCCCTGTTCTTTCAGATATTCATCCACGTTTGTTTTTTGGCCATGTTCGGATTTTCCCTGTTCTTTCAGATATTCATCCACGTTTGTTTTTTGGCCATGTTCGGAATATCCCTGTTCTTTCAGATATTCATCCACGTTTGTTTTTTGGCCATGGTCGGATTTTCCCTGTTCTTTCAGATATTCATCCACGTTTGTTTTTTTGGCCATGTTCGGATTTTCCCTGTTCTTTCAGATATTCATCCACGTTTGTTTTTTGGCCATGGTCGGATTTTCCCTGTTCTTTCAGATATTCATCCACGTTTGTTTTTTTGGCCATGTTCGGATTTTCCCTGTTCTTTCAGATATTCATCCACGTTTGTTTTTTTGGCCATGTTCGGATTTTCCCTGTTCTTTCAGATATTCATCCACATTTGTTTTTTGGCCATGGTCGGATTTTCCCTGTTCTTTCAGATATTCATCCACGTTTGTTTTTTTGGCCATGTTCGGATTTTCCCTGTTCTTTCAGATATTCATCCACGTTTGTTTTTTTGGCCATGTTCGGATTTTCCCTGTTCTTTCAGATATTCATCCACGTTTGTTTTTTGGCCATGGTGATGAGCATAACACAGGGAGATACTTATTTAGTACTCGGCATATCTCCCTGTGAAGCATGCTCCTTCCCTTCTTAAACCATCAAACAGATCGCCTCCATTGTTTACAGTAATTATGGGAATGTTACAAAAATGAACCAATGTGTGATTGGCAATTATGACATAGCGGGTAGATATAATATAATGTATCGAGCACTTTTCAACTAACAAATCATGAAACTATAAATCCATCAGCTTAACTGTTTTTGTTTGGTTCATGCAAGGGAAAGATCAATACCCGGTGATTTCAGCGGGAAGTGGCGTTTCGTTCAGTGGATGAGCTGCGCGAGCACGCATAAATGTGATTATCAATATTATTTAGGGGAGGGATATTCAAGCTTATTTTCGTCATAGGCGCGACCCAGGGCTGTTGTCTTAAGGACATTTCGTTGAAAATTAGCCATTCGGCTGATAATTTGTAAGAGTTTGCGATCTTATAATGTATAACTGTTATTCAGACACATATTTTGACACGATTCTGTTGGAATTAAGCTTTGAACCGAGAGATATTCACGATTGATATGCACATTTTTGATTGTGCCATTGCTTTTCCATTGCACAATCCATATATTGATAGAAGTAACAATGCAGATTGTTTTACCTTCAATACATGGCGGATTCACTACATATCGGTCTATTAAATACCATTTTGTGCCCTAAATAGTTTTATATTTCCATCACGGCCTGAGTGTGTTTGTCTCTTATGTGTATGCGTGTGAATTGGTGGGGCTGGTAGGGCCACCAATCCCCTGGCCCCGCCCATCCTTTATTCTACTTCCCACTTATTATAATTTATGCTGTAACATTTAGTGACTTCGCTGGAAAACAATAGGAATTATTTTTCTTGCCAATCAATCGTGAATCACAATCAAAATTTCAGAAAGGATCAATCAGGCAATCGTCCAAAATCCAAATCAAGTTATAACATTATATGATATTCAGCAAGAAGTCCGGTAGAAATAAAGCATATTTAAACATGAAAGCTGAAAGTTAAAAGCTAATCTGTTAATTTTCTGTCTGCAAAAGAACGTCACATTTGACACAATAAAAGACCGAGGCTTTGAAATCTAGGATTCCCCAGGAAAATATGACTTCATACTAATTAGCATAAGGATTTCCCTAGTGGTCTGGGTCGAGCATCGTCCGAAAACACAATCCGATAAATACATGCTAATTTCTAAGGAGATGGGAAGTGTATGACGTGTTTATCGATTTTGTTTAACGATTTAATCAATTATCAAATTGTTTAAGTGGATAAAGTGGTCACACTTGCTTCAATTCATAGCGTAATCGACGGAAAGAAACTGCACCGAATTCCCGATATCCTACCCCGTATTATGTAGGCTATAACCATAGTGACCTGCAGATGGCGCTATCACAAACAAGTACTGCACAAACCGATAAATTCCCGGGTATTGTAATGCCCTTGGTTCATGTAACAGTAAAACATTTCCAATTGTTAAATAGAAACCTCCCATCTACAGCTCTGTAGAAAGTATTTTAATGGCTTGATCATTTGATAATTGATTATGGTACCTCTTAATACCTTTTTATATTAAAACCAGGAAAAACTCTTGTTTCTTGTCGCCTTGTTTCTTGTTACAGTAGTTTCAACAAAAAAGAGAAGACTTTAAAGAATCAGATTGATATTTTTGGTACCCTAAGTTAAGGGGACAACATAAAATTGTAGTATTTATACACACCTAACCATCAACAACGTACAGTGACAAAATATACTGTCATACCCTTTAGATGAACGGTGTTCTGATAATTTTAAGTATTTCTATTCTGCTCTCCCAAGAATTTTCAAAATGGCTGCCATTTTAACGTATTGGTAGAAGGTGGCCATTTTGAAAAATGGCTGCCATTTTTGCTATATACTGTATTTGTAAAAATGCCAGCCATGGCTGTTCGATGGGATTTGCTACGCTTTGGCAATGCTGTTGTCTAGTTATACTGTTATAATATTTATGTCTACTTGTAGAGCTCCAGAGATACTCTGATGGTACAAGTGAAATGGTTCTACAGACCCAATGAGATCCCTGAATCAGTTTACCACTTTCTTGTCCAAGATCGTCATACTGAAAATGGTAAGTGGTCCAAGTTGTTTCATCATCTCAAAAGGTAGACTGAAAGTTCTGCCATATTTAACAGTTTTTAAACCTACACCAATTTTGCTATTAGTGTCTTATCTTGCAGATGTCATCATATGTTTGGGATTGAATTACCAAATGTAGAAGGTTTTAGGCAGAGGTGTTAAAAATACTAAATCTAGTAACTGAAAATTATGCTAATTGCTAATGTTGGCTGGCTATTTCATTTAGCTTGTTTGCTTAATGTTTTCATATGCGCTTCTCATACATTTAACACATTGGATGGAAGTTAACATTCATCTAGATATCTGGAAATTAGATATATTGTCATCATTGAAATCATTGTTTATGACCAAGCAGAATAAAGAACATACCGTATTTGCTGTAATAAGCGCCCAGGGCGCTTTTGAAATTAAAATTCCCATTGTAACCCATTTCAAATAGCGCCCATATATGAGAGAAGTCAAAAATTCCCGGGAATTTCATGTAGGGGAATTTTTCTTGCCAAAAATGCCTTAATTGCACCGAAAGTGACAGCATATTTTCACAATAATGATATGTATCGTTATTGGAGAGAATATGGTAAAATAAAGCAAGAATCTAACTATATTGACAGTGATTGAAGAACTCCCCAGCAGAGCCCCTCGAGGTGAAGGAATTGTTTTCCGCGATTATCTTCAATATTTTTACTATAGACTGTTAGACATCGATCTAAAGTTATACATTGTTTTTTTTAATTTGATGAAAGATCATAATTTTTCGTGTAAAAGTCATGTAAAAGTTGAGAAATCTTAAAAAGAAACGAGAAAGTTCACGACCTTGACATGACCTTGACGATCGCTGAGTTAGTAAAATGTCGAAACAAATCTCTGAAACGTGATCATTTCCTTCATTCATTATGGACTATTTGAGATAATATTAGCTAAGTATGATGTGGGAAGCACCCACTGATAGATATCAATCGAGAGGATCCATCGATTTACAAAATGCGTCATGTTTTCTGCATTTTAGTGTAAGTACTCTATTATCGCCCACTATATTTCTTTGGAAATTTGATTTTTTCTGATACATACGTTAATACTTGGTCATTCCTCGATATTTCTTGAGCTCTGTGAAGCGGGGTAGGCGCTTATTAGGGGTGGGCCCTTATTATGGTGATTACGATATGCACAATTAAAATGCAAATGCAATGGTTTTAATTAAATATAAGATAATATAAATCATAAAATGAAAAAAACCTGCTGTAGTGAATATTTTTTTCAAACTTTTTGTTAAAGTGTGAAACTAGCATAATAAACAATATTTGGTAGTTAACCCATACTCTCCTCCAAGTATAATTTTTGCAAATATGACTGTTTAACTTCCTTAAACTTAAACAGTGAATATTAAATCATTTCTGTCGATATTTAATTCTGAGTTCGGGTGGCCAATTTCCCTAACAATTTTAGTAACAATTTCTAGTAAAATGGTATGTTGCATTTCTCCAAGGCACAATTTTATCCCATGTATAATTCATTATACCCAAAGCACACTTTAGGTTACCAATTGTCATGTTTTAAAAAATTGCCAACCTTTTAACTCCTGTTGGCCTAAAATGAACAATACAAGACTTAGAAATGATCAATGGAAGGCCTAAAATGGTCTAAATGAACAATGGAAGGCCTTTAAATGAACAATAAAAGGCTTAAAAATGAACAATAGAAGGCCTAAAAATTGCTTCAAAAGACCAAAGGAAAACATATGTATAAATCATATTGTTGGGTTTTTCTAAGTCATGCTAGGTTTCAATTCTTACCTAAAGATGGCAGCATAGCTGTCCATCAAGACTTAAAGTGTGCGCCAAAGTTTAAAACTGCGCAGGCGCACCGCTCTCGCTAAACTATATAAAGAGATTACCAGGTACACGATTCAGAGGTAAGCCAGGAAGGCGAACGATCTTCGTCTCGTGATGATTTCCCATATAATCGTAACCAGGGAAGTTTCACCATTGAAATTGAAAATTACTATTAGATATACTTTGTAGATGTTATTTATGAAGCTATTTAGTGTTTGCATCAATCAAATGGCTCATTTTGAACATATAAAAAGTATTTGTGTTTTGTTTCCCAGGGAATTGTATTGTATGTAGCACACACATAAATAGTGTACATTATACAGTACTTGAATAGCCTGGTTTACATAATATTGAAGGGCATGCTGATTACATGCACACGAGTACATGAATGAAGGCCTAATATTGATATACGTAGCGTGCATACCTAAATAAAAAATAAACTCTTCTAATCCCCTAATGTAAGCACGGCGGTATACGTAGCCCGATTTATCGGGGACTTTAACAAAATCATTGAGGCCAAAAGCCACAACTCTGTTCTTTTCACTCATCATATAGGCAACACTTAGTCATTTCTCATAACCAGACTAGCTGGACTCTGTTATTTTCATGAACCTGTATCTCAATACTTAAACATTTTACACCCAACCAAAGGCGCTGGACTCTGTCATTTTGCAACAACAGTGGTTCATGACTTAGGCAATTTTATTCATTCATACAGTTGGACTTAAGCATTTTCAGTGACATTTCAGTAAGAACTTAGAATAATTTGGTCATTAAGTTTCATTGGCACTTTGCCAAATTGGTCATTGGCAGGTTGCCAATTGTGGTTTGGCAACATGCCAATAGTAGTACTATATAAGAGGCTTCGAAACCTCACCCTGGCAGTTATGATCTGGAGTTATGATCTGGAGTGACGATCCGGAGTTACGATTGGGTCTTTTACAGTCAGTACAGTAGCTCAGTAGTATATAACTTGTACATAGATAGTGTAGTTTGACTCTTTATAATAAAGTATCGTATGTTACTCTGAACTCTGAAGTTTGTCGTATCATATTGGCGTCATCGTTTCGTAGAGACCCAACAATATGTTAACGTATGAACTCATCACACTTAGAGGCACTGATGATAAAAAATCCTAAACACCATATATTGCAAAAAAACATAAGACCCCTACTAAATAATACCTTGGTGTACCCCAGCAGCTTCCCTGGCCTGTCCCCCAGGCACAGAGTTAATTGTCAGGCCCATTATCGTTCTCAAGTTTCATTTTCTGAGGCTTCAAATATTAGGCTTCACTACCAGAATCATTGAATATAGCAGCGATTTGATCATCATTACCCGTCCAAATCTAGCCCTTTTTAAATACCATAATGTCGGATCACTTCCAGATTCGTATTTGTTACAAAATAAATCAATAAGTGACCAAAATAATTTTTTTTCAGAAACTTTGCTTCGCCAAATTAATTTTCAATCACTTCCTGTCAATGTGAGTACCGAACATTGGCACTGCAATACAAGGGTGACATCTTTTAAGTCTGCTAAAACTTTCCTATAGCTTGTTGACCTGGAGTCGACGTATGCCATATAGCGTATTGGCGACAAAACTCGCCTGATCGCCCAAATGAGTTAAAATGAACTATGGAAGGCCTTTTAATGAACACTTGAAGGCCTAACAATGAACAATAGAAAGCCTAAAATAGCTTTAAATGAACAATGGAAATTGTTCACACCCTGTGACCTTTTCTTTCATACCGAAGCACTGCTCTATATTCAGTTCTACAGATTATTTTCTTCAAAGGATAAATTGTTTATTAAAAGCAGTTTAGTTTAGGCTCAGTTTAAAATAGTTTATTTATGTTTTACTGGCAATGGCATCACTTACATTTAACATAATAAAACATTGTAAAACAATTTATAAGAATTACACCAGCTGTCACCTTGATAATCCCAGTTTTCTTATAAATTATAAACAATAACTTATAGTTTTTATATAAAATCACTCTTATATATGCCCAGATGGGAGCTAATTTAAACAGGCAATGCGCTTATTTTAGAAGGAAAAAGGACAAAATATTATTTGAGACATGTCACTCACACAGTCAATCAAATATGATAAAAACTTTAATTTGGGTCAATACTGAAGTGAGAAAAAATTACTCGCCTGGAAAACAGCATTTGAAGTTCAGAGATCAAGAGAAGTGAATTACCACTTTTCACAAAGTGTATGTTTTTAAATAACTCTTGGACTAAAAGATGGCGTATGGTTGAAAATGAATGAACAATTAATGCAAACAACAATGCCATCTTTCTATGGCATTGCTAAAAACTTGACATCTATAAATTGATAGGTCAAAAATATTTTTTCATGGTCTAGTGTCAACTCTGATGTGGTCTGTTTGAGCTGTTTTTGGTGTCAAATGAAAGATCAGGTACTTATTTATCTATTGGAAATACTATGGAGATCAAAAGTGAGACTTCATTTACGCACTTTGTCCCTTTAACCAGAAATAAAGTAGTCCATCTTATGCTTGTATAGATGTCTCTCTCACCCACTGCAGCTATGAGTATATTCACTTCATATGTGTTCCACATAAAATGAAGGCCTGCACATCTGGTACTTAATGTGACCATTATTACACTTGAGGCAATCTGATTGCCCCGACTCCATAGGTACCTTTTTCTGCGTTCATGTCATTAGCTACATAACTGATTACTTAGGTTTATGATGTGTACATGTAAATAAGGGTTAATGCAAACAGAATAAACAGGGAATGGTGAGTGAAGTGGCAATTGTGATTTTGGCTGAACAGTGTCACCCTGCCTTGGAAATTCCCAGTCCCAACAGTTTATGGCATGGTGCAAAGTCCCATGATATGCAAATGAGAAAACCCCATTGCTTTCTTGTCAGAACAACCAAAACTAATGCGGACAATATCCGTTTTAACTGTTGTTTCTGAATGTTTCATGATAAAAATTCAATATAAGAATTCTGTCATATTACAAGAATAATATGATAGATTGTTTTAACTTACCAATCACTGTCATTTGTAGACATGTTTAGCTCCAAGTCATCATACACAAAGGGGATGACATAGATAATCAGAAAAATATTTGAACTTTATACACCCTCTTATTCTATTGGTTGGTACAGTAAAAGCTGAAA